GTGTGGCCTGGCAGTCTTGTCAACATAATTGCAATAGTAATTTTGAGATCTTGAGATCTTGATGACAGACAGGTGCATCATCCAATGTGGTCCAAAGTTTATTGGTTACCATTTGTGCTCAGATGTGGTATATAGTTAATGGAAGAAGCCCTTCACTCCTTGGATCCTTCTGGTTCAACATTGTACGACAGAGGAACACCCTTTATCTCTGAGGGTCCTGAGTGTCAGGTGCAGGCAGTGATGAAGAACTGTTAATTTTTTTTAGTATATTTATTTATTTTAAAAAAGATTTACTTATTTTTATTGGAAAGGCAGATATACAGAAAGGAGGAGAAACAGATAGCAAGATCTTCCATCCGATGATTCACTCCACGAGCAGCTGCAATGCCCAGAACTGAGCCAATCTGAAACCAGCAGCCAGGAGCCTCTCCTGGTCTCCCAGGCAAGTGCAGGGTCCCAAGGCTTTGGGCCGTCCTCCACTGCTTTCTCAGGCCACAGGCTGGGAGCTGGGTGGGAAGCAGGGCTGCCTGGATTAGAACTAGTGCCCATCTGGAATCCCAGTAGGTGCAAGGAAAGGACTTTAGCCACTAGGCTATTGTTCCAGGCCCTGTTAATTGTTTTAGTTGAAGACATACTAATTTTTTCAGAGGTTGTGTGTCCCCATTGTGGAATGCTGATGTTAATTCTTAATTATGTGGTTTCACCAGGTTGACTAAATTACTTTATTCATCATGCTATCACCACAGCAATACAAGAGATCCTAACTTGGATTTTAAAATTAGGCAATTTACTGTCTGAGATATTGTCATAACTCCATTCTTAAAGTAGAGCACAAGGAAATTCCTGAGGAAGGATACTTGACTGAAAGTACCCATTGGCATAATGGTTAAGATACTATTTGGGACATTGTGTCCCCTCTTGGAGTGGCTGAGTTTAAGTCGTAGCTCTGCTCTGGATTCCAGCTTCTTGCCAATGAATGCCCGGGACACAACAGGTGATGGTTTAAGTCCTTGGATCCCTGCCCCCTTTATGGGGAGTCTGAATGGGGTTTTGGGCTGCCGGCTGGTTCAACCCCAGCTATTGCAGGTATTTGGAGAGTGATCCAATGGTGAAAGACCGCTCTCCATTTGTCTGTCTCTTTGCCTTTCAAATAAAATGAACATAAATTAAACTCGTTTTAAAAGGGAATTATCTAGGTTTCATGAGGCAAAGTGAAAATTAATGATGCTCAATATTTTCTATAAAAAAGAACACTTTACTTTGCCAGGGGCTTGTTGCCTACTGTATGCCCTTAATCGAATAATCACCTCATTTCCAATGTGTGGTATCAATAAATGATATGATTATTTTTAGTCCTTGGTGCACCATGCAAAAAAGATATTTGTGCTTTCATTTACATTATAGAGCTAGATCTAAAATGCCTATTTAGCAGTTTTAGAAATGAATAACCTAATCTAATGAGCCCAGCCAAATTACTTTCTGAACATTCATGCTACCTTTTGTAACAGTTATAAACATATATACAATTTTGAGGACTTCTTTTAGCTTCAACATGGAAGAATAATATTTTTCATGCCATGGTATTTTGCAGTTTATAATTTTGAAAGATTGTCCACTATCTAATTGTGTAATATAACATAATTGTTCAAATTCTTCTAAATTGCTGACCATTTAAATTGTTTCTAATAGATGCATTATTTATATTCCTGAATAGCACCCAGAAGCACTAACTCAGGGATGGAAGTTTTCCTGCATGCTCTTAGGTAGGTGGGTTTATATGCTCCTGCTGGAAACAACTCCACTTTAGCAGTTACTTAGGTGAAAGAAAAAAAATCAGAAGGGACTAGGCCTACACTAAGGTAGATTTCGAAGCTTTGGCTTCCCCCAAACCCCCTGATTTGTACAACTGATTCTATAATTCTGTCATACTTGGCAACTGACTGTGTCCAAGTGTTGTGCTGTTCCATTGTGTGTGCTTGTATGCAAGCATATGTGGAGTCTTACTGGCGTCGATTTTGGAATTGAGAGAGGAGAGAGAGATAGATTCACTCAAGGCAGATCATGAACATGATTCATATTTTCTGTATGACAGCATAGTATGTACACAAGTTGAAAATGGTATCACTTTCAGGGGCCTGGAACGTGTGGTGCTTGAGTGAAAAGGTACAGGCATTGGCTACCATTGGTTATTAAGGGTGGGAAGAAATAGGGACCAGGATTTATCTGAGAAAGGAGACCTTGCAACTTCGCTGCAGCTGGCAGAAGAGGAAATGTAGTTCAGTTTTTAAAAAAATATTCTAAGAGAATTGAAGATTTTGGTTGTTAAATTTTAGATAAATATTCTAATACTTGCCCATGAAAACATTTACATGTCTACTAGATCTTGATGCAGGCATGACCAAATTGGCTTAAAATTTGATTTGTGACTTCTTTGTTTTGATTATATCATCCACTGATGTATGAAGAAACTTTTTTGATATGAAGTATCTGAGGCTTAGAAATTATTGTCCAGTGTTTTGTTTTCTTATACTGCTAAAAGGTGTGCTTTTATGCAGATCAGCAGAGTGTGGCCCTGCTGCGGCTTCATCTCTCAAAGTAGAAGTCAAACTCTTGAGTTCAGATGCATTTTGAAGTGCAGCAATTGATGTTGATAATTCACGTGTGTGAAATCTGATCATGGCTGGAGTAGCATCGCAAGGGTGGGATGAATTTATTCTGTGTTTTCACATATGGAATCTGAGGAGACATTGCATTCTTAAATACAGCACTGAAAGCAAGAATGCCAACTCTGAAATAAAAATAGTATGTAACCAAGGATGTAGGTGTTTGTAATCCTTTCACACCATGGGACAGACATCTTAAACTAAGGTCAGACAGGGTCAGGTGCTTAGCTTAGAGGTTTCAATTCCAGTTAAGACCCTCACATCCTATGATGGAGTGTCTGAACTCAAGTCTCAGCTCCGCTCCTGATTTCAGCTTTCTGCTAATGCACACCGTGGGAGCAGCAGGTGGTGGCTCAAGTTCTTACTTCCCCACCATCCACAAGGGAGACCTGAGTTGAGTTCTTGAATGTGGACTGGCCCAGCTCTCAAGTTGCGGGCATTTAGGGAATGAACCAGCAGATGGAGCCTTCTCTTTCTCATGTAATGAAATTTTAAAATAAGATTAGATAGGAAATATTCTATGCTTTCTGAGCCTTATGTTCTGAGTTGCAGGTATTCAATTTGCAATGGAAATATGAAACATGAGCCAAAGAAAAATGTAAATAAACGGATATAGTTGTGTTCCGATAAAATGTATTTGCTAAAAGAGGCAGTTGCCAAATTTGACCTGGAAGCTGTAGTTTGCCAATCCCTGCCCTGGCAGACAGGTGAATTACCTTACTAAGTGGGAAACAAATGAAAGCAACTACTTAAGTGGTTAGCCCACTGTGGAAGTGTTTAAATTTTTTCCTCTTTCTTTCACTTCACTTAGTGCTTCGTAGATGGGTTACTATGTCTGTCTTCATCTCCTCTGAGGTTGTGGTGGTATGTTAGTAAATCGTTAACAACTTGCTCTCGTAGGAGATATAAAATACTTTGATGTGCCATTTTTTTACTTTTCCTTTGGTGGCCAAGTTCTAACCACCAACATGAACGTGGCATAAGGATGGCATGCAGTTGTTGCTGGCTCCTGCACATCACTACATAGGGAGGTCAGTTTGGTTTCTTGTTGATTGGGAAGTAACATCGAAATGTAGCTAGTGTTACCATCAAATAGAATGTGTGATTACCTACTAGGTCAAGGGGCTCCCAAATCAGACAGTTTAGTAGCTCAGGGACATCTTTAAGGTTCCAGACTGTTGTGCTTACCTTGGCTTATTGGCTCTGACTTCTGGCTCATTTCCCTCATGGTTAAGAGGTGAGGTGAACTCTGTAGTTGCAGGTATCTCTTCCGGGTTCAAAACTACTAGAAGAGGGACCTGTTTCTTTCGTATGCTTTTTTCTAAAGAAAGCACTTTTTAGGGTTGATCTCATTCCTCATCAGTGACACTCGTCAAAACTCTGTGAAGCAGTGGATTGGCCCAACCTCCGAGAAGATTAAAGTCTCCAGAAAGAAATCAATGCACATGCCTAAACAGCACCAGGCTGCACTAGGGTTAGGATAGAACAAAGGAAGGGGGAGCTATACATTTTGGGGGGCGGGGCGGGGACATTTGGTTCCTTACTTAGACCTGTATGTTGTGGACTTTTGGAGGGTAAATTAAATGATGCGAACCCTCTCCCCACCCCCTCTCTTTTTTAGATAGAAAAATTATCTATCTACATATCTATCTATGTAAACTTAAAAGTTCCAAAGAATATCCTGAGACTCATTCAATAAACTAATTAGGATATACCCTAAGGTGTTGGAAGAATGAGATGCCAAATCATTGACACCTAAACAAAACCAAAGTGTATTTATCTTTTGTGCAATGTTGTAGAGATGTATGAAATTTCGAGGTGGGGGAGCTGCTCTCGCAGAGGTTTGTGGGAGACTCCAATTTCTTCATTCTCATACCTCTGTCAGCGTCTTTTGGGTAGATGGTGTCTCACCTCCACTTCACTCTCTAGCCTGTTGGAAAGGAGCTGCCAGAAGTCCTCAGAGGGAGCTTTTGCATTTGAGTTGATGGACAAGAGTGGTGCTTAGGATATCTGCTTTTGTCTAGACAGTGTTGCCACACCTGTCTTCAATGGAGGCTGGGCAAAAAATGGTGTCAACCTGGGGGTCTCCAGTTTGTCTAAAATTGGAGATGTTCTGTAGTTGAAGTCAATAAGGGAGATAGGTATTAAGAATAACTATTATCAGTTCAGTATTGATAGTTACCAGTGGTCATCTTTACTAGAATGGTAATAATTATTTTTACCAAATGAAAAAAGTCCACCTTCATGCATGAGACTAAAACACTGATATATGCCCTGATTTTTAATTTTAGATGCCCAGTAACTCATGTGCAAGGTAGCATTCTATACCACTCTTGAATGTCGACAGGAAGGCACTAGGCAGTAAATTCCTCTGAGATCATATGTTGGCTGTTACTTGGAAGAGAAGGAACTGACACCATGGCCAAAGGAAAGAGAGCTGAGTCTACCTCCCCTCCAGATGGAGGCTGGGGCTGGATGATAGTGGCCGGATGTTTCCTTGTGACAATCTGCACCCGGGCAGTCACTAGGTAAGTGGAATTTTCTTGTCTGTTTTTTAAAGGACTTAGCTTATCTTTTTTTTTTTTTTTTCCTAATTATGTTTCATTCTATTTCTGAACTCTTCATTAAAGAAATATGTGTGTGTTCTTTGTGTTTGTTTGCTTAGATCTTTTTTTTTTTTGTACAAAATGTGATTTCAAATTTCAAAAGCCTAGAATTATGATCTCTTCTATAAAATTCAATTCTTAACCCTGGGGAACCAGTAAATTTTTAGGTGAGAAATCCTGGTTATTCCCACCATTTTTTTTTTTTTTTTGCATAAGCAGTCCCCAAAGTTATGGACACACGAGTGATATTTCTTTTCTCGCTCCATCTTCTACCCAAAATGAATATGAAATGCTTAAAATCTATCATGTAGAAGCCAAAATGGGAATTTCCCGGTCATTAAAGTAGGAGATGGTTCCATGGAAAATTAATAATGAATTTACTTTTTGAGAAGTTTTAAAGAATTGCTAAAGTCATGTCAGAAAGGTGAGTTTGCATAAGCTGACAAGGTTTCAGGGAAGGGCAAGGTAATCTATGTAATCCCATTTTTCAAAAAATTTCTTATCATCTTAGTGATATATCCCAATCATTAAAATTTTACAGCATAAACACCAAGTTTATTGGATGTGTGATTAGTAACTCATATTTTAAAAGCTATGGGAAAATTCATGACAGGAGATCATTATGTTCTATCAAGTGGCTTTTAAGTCTAGACTTGAGGAAGAATGGAGCATCAAACTAAAAACAGACAAACAAAAAAAGGTATTGCAAAGTTTGTAGCACATTTATGTCTATCATATAGGAGTGGGTCTGTACTCAACCTGGGAAAAAACATGTGAGGTCAAAATAATCCTTGGAAACTCATTTGCTCATTAGGTACAGAACTCTTGCAAATGACAAATGCATTACAAATATTTTTAAATTTCTATTAATGGGATCTTATTACCACACCTTTTTCCACTTAATTTTTCTTTAGAAACATTCCATCTTTCTAACTTCCCATTTTACCTCACTGGGAAAATATGAGGGTACTTTGAAAGGTTCATGGAAAAAAAATGAAATTAAAAGGTAAGTTGAGGTGGGCATTTGGCCTGGACATTAGCACACTGGTTAAGACATCTGTGTCCCATCTCCTAGTTCTTTGATTGTAGCTTCTGGTGGAGCCCACGAGGAGGAGAATTGGCTCAAGTTTTTGCCATTCACGTAGAAATTTGGATTAGTTACTGGCTCATTATTCTGGCTGTCCAGCCCTGTTTGTTGCAGTTTGTTGACAGCAGATATGAGCTCTTTATCTTTTGTGTGTGTGTCTACCTTTCAAAACCACATGAGCAAGAACCTCAGAGCATACCCTATATCCGGGACCTGAGGAGGGTGCAAAATTGGGTAGGACTTCTCCTTTAATACCCCCCTTTAAACATGAAGGAAACATTATGGGAAAAATAATAGTCTTACCCACTTTCCTTAGCCCTTGAACCTTTTTACCATAATTAACTATGCAACGATTGCCAAAATATAAGAAAAAAAGAAAAAAATAATTAAAGCAATAAGCTTATTTTTTGCGTCTTAAAGAAATCTACATAAAAATTTTAAATTCCATTCTATACACATTTTCTCATATACTCTTGTTGCTGCTTAAAAATCAACCAGCTGTATGTGTTCACAATTATTTGCCACATTTTGATCAATGGACATGGTATTTTCCCCCCATTTTTGCTTGCGTTAACAATGCTACCTGAGACTTGTGCCACTTAAAAGTGACCTCAGGGATCCATGTTGTGCTGCAACAAGTCAAGGTACTGCTCAGGACACCTGCATCCCAAATGGAATACCTGTGCAAGTTGCTGTGCTCTGCTTCCAATCCACTGTCCTGCTGACAAATCTTGGGAGGCAACAGATAATGGCTCAAGTGCTTGGGTCCATACCTCCCATGTTGATGACCCAATAGAGTTCTGAGCTATTGATCTTATTCTGATCCAGCCCTGGCTATTGGCGGCATCAGAGGAGTGAATCAGCAGAGAGAAGATCTCAGTATGTGTGTGTGTGTGTGTCTTTGTTGCTTGCCATTCGCATTGGTAAAAAATATTGAAAATCAAATTTTAGCTCTTTCCATGTATCTAATGATGCTGCCTTCTAAAATTCACACAGAGCCAAAAATTGTGCAGGCTAGGGAAAGTTCTTTCCCATGTTCACTAATGTATATTGGTTACTTAGTTCTTTGACAGTGAAGTCAGTCACTTGAGTTGGATCTGGTATTTGAAAAACTACATTTCATTTAAATGTCAAAAAGAAAAATAAAGAACCTTAGGTCAGAGACTTGAATGTCTCTAAATCTTTTGTGTCCATGTAGATTAGTTTGCAATAAATGTTTGCAGTTTTGGGAAATTTTGGAGTTCTTTTGGCTCTTTGAACAATACTTGAGTTTCTATAAAAAATTACCAACTTTAGCTGAGGCCTTCGGTGTTTCTTGACTTTTTTTTTTAAATTGATTAAATGATGTAATCCTTAGCCAGAGGCTGAACATTGCATGTAAGATCTGATGGATAGTAAATGGCAGAACTTCTGGCCTCTGGGTACAATATCCTGAGGATCAGTCTAACATCTGCTAAGACTAGGAAGTTCCCTGCCGTTCCCTCTTCCCTTTGTGTCACTACAATCAGCAACATATTTACAGAGTCCATTGCAAATTCATAACTCGGGGCTCCTTTCTCTAAAAGCATGAAGAAAAATGCTATTGAAAAGTACTAAAATTGAATTTTTTTTTCTTTTTAAAAAAATGTTTCATTGAAGACATCTGATTCTTTCCCTGAGTAATTAACTGCATTTCAACATAAATTCCTTTTTCCCCTATACTTTCTCTTTTCTCTGTGCTTGCACATTCAGGCTCACACATTTCCAAGTATACAAAAAATCATTTTCACTGGAAAAGATTTCAAAATGCAGAATCATTATCACCTCTAAGCCCACCATTTACACAAGATTGGGGAAAGTTTGGAGTATATGCTTTTAGGCTTTTCTGTCTATATGAACTATATGTTTATAAAAATAAATCTTAGCAAATAAAATATTTTATAGCTTTTTTGTTTGATATCACATGCATTGAAAAAAAATTTTAATACACAATAATACACTATTCTGTTTTATTGATATACCATCATTTATTTAGCCAATCTTTTCATGATGAACACTTAGACTATGATAGTTGGCTGTAACAAGTAGTTTTCCAGGTTATATCCACAAATAAATATTATTAACATGTTATTATTACCTTTGTATAAGCCTTAGCAGGGAAGTTTCTAGGTGATGTATCACTCTTTGTCACTAAATTTTAACTTGTATTACAATTTCTTAGAAGTTGTGTGTGTAAATTAAAATAATAGAATGAATAAGAAGCCATGTTCTTGATTTGCTACCTTTTCCATGGAACCTTCTCCAGAGTGAAGATTTTCACATTTCCTTGGCTTTAACAATACCTCTCATGGTCAAAACGTGTTCTCCAGAATGGTTGGCTGTGGATTTGTCATTTACTGTGGTCCAAAAATTTAAATTTTTGGAGACCAGAACAGCTCATTCAAATGAATTCACTTTTTTGTATCAAATACCCACATTGTCTCTTCCAGATGTATCTCAGTGTTTTTTGTGGAGTTTCAGACGTACTTCGCTCAGGACTATGCACAAACAGCATGGATTCATTCCATTGTAGATTGTGTGACCATGCTCTGTGGTGAGTATCGCTTGCCAGAAAAGACAATGCTTGTTTACTCTTGAATTGTGTCCATGAAAATGACCTTCCATTGACATCAATTACTTTTTTGAAGTAGAGGAATGGTTTAAAAACTGCCTAAGATTACTCCTTGCAATTGATAATCTTCACGATCTTGGCTGATGCCTCACGAAAGAGTTCATACATTTAAAGAGAGCCATACTCTTCGATCTTACGTATAGAGATAGACTGTTACGTTTGCAGAATTCATTTTGATTTGGAAGAAGTGTATCTTACCATATATACTTGGCTTCTGTCTTCCAAACGCTGTGGCCTCTTTGCTTCTTCAGTCAAGTAAACATGACTAGAACCTCGGATCATTTCTATATGGTCTCCATCAAATGAGTGCCGACAATGTTGCATCAGACTCTGTATTTGCCTTCTGTTCCTGAGTAGTCATAAGTTAGCTCATAGGTTTCATCTTTTCATGCACGAATCTTCATGTTTTCAAAAGTATTGGAGAAGGATAAGATTATGTAATCATGAAATGAACATACTCACAATGACTTTTATTCAAGCAGCTTGAGTCACTACATCGAGTATATAAGATATCCTGGACAGTATGGAAACTATCTGTATATAGGAGAGGATGGAAAACTTTAAATTGTTCTTTTACACATTTCAAGGTAACATTATTAAGTTGGTTTCTTGGAGTTTTTATATTGGGTCAAATAGACATGTTCTGTTTGCAGTTTAGATCCACTCAATCTTTTCATTTAGGTGAACGCTGAGTGTTTTTGAAAACTTCAGCTCATGTCCTACTGACAAAAAGAAACACAGTATTTTTAAGAAATCCCTAATGATTTCATCTGAGTCCATTCTTGGGACTGATGTACACATATTTTTAAATATTTGGTCTCAGGAATGAATTGAATTGTGCTGAAATGTATTTCTTTAGAAGGAATTTAAGATCAGTTTTAGGACTAAGACTAAATCAACTCTGTCTATTGACAAGAAGGCCTTAAGGGATAAGAAACAATCATGCATTTGAGATTTTTAGGCCATCTTTTTGTGCTTTTGTTGTTTTAGCCATGAGGTAATGACTTGATTTTTCAGGGTCATGTTATTCAGTCACAGTCTGTGTCAGCACACCAGAGGCCGTGTTTGTCTTTCTCAGAGGATGTGAGTGACTCATTTCCTTCCCTCTTATCTTCTGGAAAGCATTTATAATCTTCCAAAGAGGAATAAATGGCTAAGTGACTCATGTGATCACAATGCCCGTGTGAGACTTTGGGTAGGGTCCTGTCAAAAGCAGCATGTGCAAGAACGCAAGACCTGCCCTAACCAGTTACCCTACACCTACCTGCTCACCTGCCAATGTGACGTTAGAACATTAGAGTTCAGGATATGAACAGGTGGCTGCAGAATCACATCTGGGGCTCTCACTTGTGACGGATCTGCCCTGTGAGAAGCAGACATGTAAATATTTTTTAGGTTATTGGTACACATTTCTTCATTATGTTTAGTATAAACTTGGCTATAAATATTGTCACTTTGCAGTAACCGTAGCAGCATCACTCCTGAGAATCAGGTATTTTTTTTTTTTAGATCTGTCCACCAGTGTCCTTCCCAGCTTATAGTTCTGCGTATTAGAGCCAGTTACTGCTTAAGCCTGCCAGGAGACATCTGGTGATACTTGACTCTGTCGTATGCATTGGACTCAGTCCTCAGTTCCAATCTGATCAATACAAAAATGATCATGCTCTAATAGAAACCCAGAGAACTGGCTCTTACGACCTTGTCTCAAGAAGTACTACTGTCAACATGAATTGTTCCTTGAAAGAAATTTACATGTCTTTCCCACCCCTGCCATCTGTCCAGTAGAGCCATCTAATAACAGAGAAAGATAACCTCCACTTGCTCAGACTAGATTGACTGCACTTCTTGGTGACCTTGGCCATGCCATGTTCCTTATCTCCTCAGCTTTAATATATATTCCGCAGCCTTCTGATCGACACAGCTCTGATACACTAGAGAATTACAAATAGAATGAGGTCAACCAAAATGTCACCGTGAAGCATGTTTTTTATTTTTTTTTAAAGATTTATTTTTATTATTTTTTTATTGGAAAGGCGGATATACAGAGAGGAGAGACAGAGAGGAAGATCTTTCGTCCGATGATTCACTCCCCAAGTGAGCGCAACGGGTCGATACTATGCCGATCCGAAGCCAGGAGCCTCTTCCGGGTCTCCCACAGGGGTGCAGGGTCCCAAAGCTTTGGGCCATCCTCGACTGCTTTCCCAGGCCACAGGCAGGGAGCTGGAAGGGAAGCGGGGCTGCCGGGATTAGAACCGGCGCCCATATGGGATCCCGGGCGTGCAAGGCAAGGACCTTTAACCACTTGCGCCACCGCGCCGGGCCCGAAGCATGTTTTTTAGATTGTAGGAGCTGTGTTTACCCAGTGATGAGCTATCCTGAGGCCTGAAAGCAGTTCCATGTTGTACAATTTGTCTTGAAAGAGTTTTGCTGGGCTTTATTGCTGCTGACTGTACATGCTTCACCCTTTCTTTCTGCAGCTGTTAACTGTCATTAATATTGCTAATGGTGTATTTGCAATTCTGTGCCAAAATCCTTACACACAAGTGATATAGAGTTTAAGTAAAGCACTAGTTAGCAAACACTCAGTAGCGTAGGACTGAGATATGAGCATTGAGATGCAAGTCATGAGACTTGATCCCTCTCCCAGCTCTGCTACTCATCTCTGTGTGAGGACAGACAGTCACTTTCCCTCTCTGGGCATTACTTTCTAATGCTGCAGAATTAGAGGGGTAGAGTTCCGATGCTGTAGCCTAGTGGCTAAAGTCCTTGCCTTGCATGTGCCGGGATTCTATATGGATGCCAGTTCGTATGTTGGTGACCCTGCTTCCCATCCAACTCCCTGCTTGTGGCCTGGGAAAGTAGTCGAGGACGGCCCAAAGCCTTGGGACCCTGCACGTGTGTGGGAGATCCAGAGGAGGCTTCTGTCTCCTGGTTTCGGATCGGCTCAGCTCTGGCCATTTTGGCCACTTGGGGAGTGAATCAGTGGGTAGAGAATCTTTCTGTCTCTCCTCTCTGAATTGCCGGCTTTCCAATAAAAATAAATAAATCTTTATAAAAGAAGGGATTAGAAGGGGTGGGCTTGATGGTTTAAAGGCTGATGATTCTCTGCACTGCCAGTGTAAAAACATAGACTTTGCACAGTATCCTCAAGAGTTTTCTGTTGATTGTGTGTGTTTTGTTCTGGAAGCTCCACTCGGGAGTGTTGTCAGCAACCACCTGTCCTGTCAAGTGGGAATCATGCTGGGTGGCTTGCTTGCATCTACTGGCTTCATCTTGGCCTCATTCGCCACCAGCCTGAAGCATCTCTACCTCACTCTGGGAGTTCTTACAGGTAAGAGCACCTTGTGCCACTTGTCTCGCCCTCCTCTGGTCGGGGAATGTCTTCCTCTACCCCTTGCAGGGGCAGGGAGCTCATCCACAGATCGGTGACTTATATAGCATTCGTTTTGACATATGTATAATTTAGCTGACCTTGGCTTATGTTCTGCGTACCTAGCAGTTGCACAGAGCTGGAAACGGGATTGAACCACCCTCACGAAAATGCATCGGCACTTTAATCCATATGATAAAAGTACTAGCTGTATTTTCCCCTTGGCATGAATGCATAATTGAGACGCCATTCTCAAAAGAAACAAGGTGTTACCCAGGACAACCTCTATGTTCAGGCTTAGTCATCCTTTCAACAATTTTGCTAAGACGTTAAAATACTATCTGTGGTCAAGCTGGGTTGGCCCTGCCTTATATTGTTGCCCAATAAATAGGCATTTTGAATTTTAAAAAGAAAGCCCCTTTTATATTATTAATTCTCTCTCAGTGCTATGTGATATTTATTTTATTTTATTTATTTTAAAAAATTATTTGTATTTGAAAGGCAGGTATTGTAAAGAGAAGGAGAGCCAGGGAAAGAGGCTGTCCGTCTCCTGTTTACTCCCAAAATGGAGTGGCTGCAATGGCCGGAGCTGAGCCTATTCAAAGCTGAGAGCCAGTAAGTCCGTCTGGGTCTCCCATTTGGCTGCAAATTGCCGTGCTATAAACAGAGAGCTGAATCAGAAGTGGAACTGCTGTGATAGAAACCCATGTCCATAAGGGATGCCAGTGCCGCAGGATGGAGAATTAGCCCACTGAGTCACTGTGCCAGCCTCACAAGCATCACTTTCAAGAGTTTGCCTGTAACTCAGAGGGTAGTATAGGACAACCCCAAGTCCTGTTTGCATACTGTGATATGGGGTGGCATGTTACCACTTAAACAGTCTATAAACTGATCTGCCAGCTAAAGAAGGTAAACCCAACCCTGCTGGCCCTAAGGGCTATGGTGACCAGCAATCCCAGTTAATCAGCAACTGCTGTGGCTTCAGCATGGCAAGTTCCACATGTGACCCAACTCTGCCTGGATAACTGGCCTCCCTGCACTAAAGAAGAAGCCTGGGATGGAGGGCGATTTCTGCCTTTCCCTTTTGTGACATAGATGCCATGAAATCCAGGCAGAAAGCCTTCCAGTTTTCCTGAGCTTAAAAAGGACTAGAAGTTCAAAATCTTTCCAAAAGTCTCCAGCTACCAACATTTTCCTACCGATCTGAGTGATATTTTCAGATGTTGTTTTCACTTGCAAAGTTGGTATGATATTTCCCAACTGTATGAAGCCACTCTGGGGGTTTCATCGTGCCATGTATGTTATCAGAATGCAGTTTCAGGGTGCAGCTTGGTGTTGTGTCCTCAAAGGCAGTCAAGGGCTGAGGTACATGTTAATTGTCCTGCAGCACTGGCATCCCTACGGACGCCAGTTTGTATCCCAGCCACTCCACTTCCCATTCAGCTCTCTGTTTATGACATGGAAGACCCAGAAGAACTTCCTGGCTCTCAGTTTTGAATAATTTAAGTATGAGACAGGGAGAAGGAATAAGTGTCTTTGGTCCCTGTTACTTCCCTGTGAAGTGCCTGGCAAAGCTGCAGAAGATGGTTCAAGTGGGTGGTTCCCTGGCACCCATGTGGGAGACCCAGATGGATTTCCTGGTTTGTGGTTTCAGCCTGGCCCAGCATTGACCTAGCCTTGGCCCAGCCCTGGCTGTTGTGGTCGTTTGGGGAGTAAGTCAGCATCTCTCTCCCTATCTCTCTGTAGCTCTGCCTTTTGAGTAAATAAATGAATCTTTTTAAAAAGGAGTTCTCTCCAGGTGGACATCATGACGTAGTGGGCTAGGCCATTGCTTGAGATGCCTGTAGCCCTTATCACGTTGCTTGGAATTGCATCTTGCCTCCCCTTCCAATCCTAATTCCTGCTAGTGTGCACCCTGGGTGACAGCGTGTGATGGCTCAAGGGCTGGAGTTACTGGCTCCCACGTGGGAATCCCACACTCCTGGCTTCAGCCTGGCCCAGCCCCAGCTTCAATGGGAATTTGGAGAGTAAACAGCAAGCTGAAGATCTGTATGTGTATCTGAATATGTCCTGCACTGCCTTTTCAGTAAATAAAAATAATCATTTTGTATAGTTTTCGTTCCAAAAATAGTTGTAGATGATTTTCCAATTCATCAGCAGGAAGAGACTCATTTTCACCTCACTGCAGAAAGGAAACTGAAGAGGGTCTAACCCGAGGTCAGGTCCTCTCGTCCATTAGCTTTATTCTGAGACGTTTCCTATCAATGGCTGTTTTGCTTTGCCAGCCCTCACAAGGTCCCCTTTATCCACAGGCCTTGGATTTGCACTGTGTTACTCTCCAGCCATCGCCATGGTGGGCAAGTATTTCAGCAGACGGAAAGCCCTTGCCTATGGGATCGCCATGTCGGGCAGTGGCATCGGCACTTTCATCCTGGCTCCTGTGGTACAGCTACTCATCGAACAGTTTTCCTGGCAGGGAGCGCTGCTCATCCTTGGCGGCTTTGTGTTGAATCTCTGTGTTTGTGGTGCTTTGATGCGGCCAATCACGCTCAAAGAAGACCACTCAATGCCAGAGCAAAATCAGAATCAAGACTTTGACCGGGCATCTCCCTGTTCGCCTTTGACCAAACCATGGATGCAGATCTGCCTTTGTTGCTCTCTCCGGAAGGAATATAGTTTTCTACTAAAGCCAGGCTTTATCATATTGGCAGTCTCGGTTTTGTTCATGGCGTATGGCTGCAGCCCTCTCTTTGTGTACCTGGTGCCTTATGCTTTGAGTGTTGGAGTGAGTCATCAACAAGCTGCTTTTCTTATGTCCATCCTTGGAGTGATTGACATTATTGGCAATATCAGTTTTGGATGGCTAACTGACAGAAGGTAAAGTCCATGCAATCACAATTGGTCACCTACCGGGGACTTTAAGCCTTCAGGTTCCCCATATTCCCACACCCTGCAGACTAGCTAGATATCGCAGAAGTCTTCAATATCTGATGGTATTTTCCTTGTAGACCAAACTTTTCTGGCAAACTGTCTTTATGATTTAAAAAAAAAAAGTGGGGGACCGATAGTAAACTTTTGCTTTGTTTCGTTTTGTAGACTATATGATCTTTCTGTACTACCATATGATTTTTTGTCTACTACCTAATTCCATTATTACAGTCCCAAATCAGGTAAAGACAATAACTGATAGTGGTTGTATTCAGCCATAAGATTATACACGCACATGAAAGTGTGAATTTTTTCTTGCCAACCTTATAACTCGCAAAATAGTGCTCTTTGTGTTTAGCTAACCAATTTAAAGTGGAAAAGCCATTTTTAGTTCAGATTTGGTCATGATTTGCTGACTCTTGTTCTAGATGGTTTAGGATGGTGGGAATATCTACACTGCAGACACCTAGGGTCACTACTAATTTTGATGATCAAATCAGTTCCATTGCATTTGAGTCCTCCAGCAAGAAAACAACTGATTGGATGTTGTGTTGTTGGTTCCTTTGGAACCACCCCACAGACTGACTGGTCCTGGAGAGAGGAACAGAATCTAGATCAGGCAGGAAGATTAGATGTGATCATAGCACAGTATGTATAGCCACAGACTTATGATTGACTTTATACATAGCAAATACTTTGTAGATTTGGAACCCAAAGTTATATGTAATTTGCCAAGTAGTGTCTTTTCGCAAACGCTCATCTGTTTGGACTGAAGAGTACAAGTTATTTATGTTCTATTAGAAGAGCTATTTTCAGGTGGCTTCTTACAAATTATAATTTTGGTGATTAATCATGATCCAAATGCCAAATACCAGTGTTATAAGTATACTATTTGGAATTGATGCCACATTGTAAGTAGTTAAAAGGGGGGAAGAATTAGGAGTGCCTATCTTTGTGAGAGGCAGCGTGGTGATCCATTGATGGGATTTTGAGTGAGGTGTAAGTCTTTATACCAATCTGCTGCTCATTCACAGTGAGACCTAGGGAAAATCATTTAATCCTCAGGTCTTCAAAGATCTTCAACTGTAAATCAGGTCAGTGCAATATTTTCCTGTTCTCCCCATACCATTTTTTCTAAGACTCAAATGAAGCTAATCATAGAAAAATACTTGTACAATATAAATTGCTAGAGTTGACATTATACAGTTTTGGTATGATAGATAGATTTGGAGTTACAAATAGAAAAAATAATGGAAATATCCACTGGAGAAACCTGTCTTTTTAAAAGATTTATTTATTGAAGTGGAAGTCAGAGTTAAAGAGAGAGAGAGGGGAGGCAGCAAATAGATCTTTCATCTGCTGGTTCACTATCCAGAGGGTTACAGCAGCCAGGGCCAGGGAGGACCGTAGCCAGGAGCCAGGAGCTTCTTCTAGGTCTCCCACATGCTGGCAGGGATCTAAGCACCTGGACCATCTTCTGCTGCTTTCCCCGGGCAATTAGCAGAGAGATGGACTGGAAGTACAGTAGCTGGAACACTGACCAGCAACAATATGGGATGCTGGCATTACAGGTGGGAGCTTTACCTGCTAGGCCACAGTGCCAGGCCCTCTAGGAAAGTCTTGAAATAAGACACTGTCCTACCGCGGGATTGTCATCATCTCTGGCAAATTATTTTGATGTTTTCATATTCCAGCTTCCTTTTGGAATAACCCTCTGGATAACTTAGCATCTATGATGTACACATCCTGACAGATAGTGTTTCTGAAAGAACTGAATGTGGTATGCTGTTGTAAAGTCTTATTTTGCTTATATTCTATGTATTCTGCACAACTATTTTCAGAGTACCTCTGTGAAACCAGTAGCCTCATTTTACAACTAAGGAAGTTGAGGTTAGAGTTAGATATTTAGTGGGCAGTTAAGCTGGTTTCTACATTTATAATTTTTGAGCATATTTTTAATATCACACCTGAGGTAGTTACATTATTGCAGTGGAATATACCAAAAGAAAGATAGGAAGACAACATGGATGATACACAGTGGAGATGCTATCTCTTAAAAAAAAAATCACAATGCCTCCTTCTTGCATGGATGTGGTCCTAGAGCTTCTCTGTGGGCCTTGTCCATCCTGCACTCACTCTTCTCCTTAAATCCGCAGGTGCCTGAAGAATTACCAGTATGTTTGCTACCTCTTTGCCGTGGGACTAGATGGACTCTGCTATCTCTGCCTCCCGATGCTTCAGAGTTTCCCCCTGCTGGTGCCTTTCTCTTGTACCTTTGGCTACTTTGATGGTGCCTATGTGACCTTGATCCCAGTGGTGACTGCAGAAGTCGTGGGGACCACCACGTTGTCATCTGCGCTTGGTGTGGTGTACTTCCTTCATGCAGTGCCATACCTGGTGAGCCCACCCATTGCAGGTAAGTTTCCAGACCTCTCGGTCATAATGATGTGAAGCAGTGAATCCACACACACAAAGAGAAAGCCTGGCCAGAGTTAGGGAAGAGTTAAAAGATGATGGTTTCCACCTACATTGCTTTTTATTTCCTAAATTTATTATTTTGTTTTCCTGTTATTTGAAGAAAGGAAGAGTGAGAGCAGAGAAAGACAGTGCAAAAGCTGGAGTGGTAGTTTTTAATCTGTCAGGTCACTTCCGAAATAATGCCCACAACAGTTGTGGGAGAACCAGGGCAAAGCCAGGAGCTCGAAATTCAATTCAGTTCGCCCATGCAAGTAACAAGGAACCCAACTCTTTGAGCTGTCTTCTGTTGCTGTCCTGGGTATATACAAGCAGAAAGCTTAGAATTAAGGGCAGATTCAGGATTCAAACCCAGGTATTCAGATATGGGATGTGGGCTTCAAAAGTGATGTTTTAACCTCTGTGCCAAATACTTATCCCCTGGATTTAATGTTCTTCAAAGATTGAATAGTATTGAAGTTTTTTTTTGCAAGTGGGGGAGTGTGTAGAATGTACGTTCTAGAAAGTATGATCTAGTAATTTAGAAAGAGAAAGTTAGCTTTTCATCCTTAATAGTCCAGGGGCAAATGAAGAAATAAAAAAAGGAGGCTTGAACTGGTGCTGCTATAGCAGAAATAGAAATGAGCTCTCTGGAAAAGGAAAAAATTAGGTGAAAAATTTGCATATGGAAATGAAAGAGCGAAAGACATCAAGATGACTCAGAAGCTAAAGTTATGTTTGAAAGAAATGGGAAAGCTGTAGGCAGTACTTTTACCTAAAAAAATAAGAAATGAGTGGCTTGATGTATTGAGATATCTGAAATGTGCAGGTGAAGACCCTCTAAAAAAGCTATGAAATCTGAGTCTCAGAGGGAGACCATGTTTGGATGTATAGATCTGAGAATCAGTGGGTAAAGTTCCTAGAATGTTAAATATAAAACACTGCAGAATCCTCAAGTATTATTAAATAAATCATGTAATATAAACATATTGCATTTAAACAAATGCTTCTAATATTCACCACTTGTAGCCAGCATGGCAATCAGTGCTGGTGACAGAGAGATGGTCAGATGTTGTCTGTAGTTTCTGGGGCAGGTGATGCAAAAGGCATCTCTGGTACCCAGGCCCTGGACACCCTGCATCCGAAGGCCCTGAGGCCCTTGTTAGAATGGACATTCCTCGACCCTCTCACCTGTGCTGTGAATCTTTGTGGAATGAGGTTCAGGAATCTACATTTCACCAGGTTCCTTAGGACATGCACGCACACCATTATTCTGAAGACATCCGATTATTAATATATAAATTAAAATCTAGGAAATGAGTATTGTTTCTGAAGACAGGCAAAAGAGAAATGAACTACATATTTGTCTCAAAAAAAAAAAGGAAGGGGATTTTTTTGAAGAAGGTAGGATTTCTGCTATTAGCTGCCACTGTTAATGATCCTGTAGGGTTATTTCTAAATGTCAGAAATCTCCCCAGCAGCAAACCAAGGGAAGCTGTGGCCACTTGAGAGCTGCAGATAACGCTGGTCGCTTTAAGCCCCAGGACATGTGATCATGTGTGTAGTGCTGCATTTGTGGAGACCGAGACCGTCCTCCAAAGTGTCCCTGCATCTTCCTTCTGTAGCCAGCGTTGGTGTTCAACTTTCAGAACAGTCTCTTCCTGCTTAAAATCATAGCATATAAAGAAAATTGGCATTCCTGTATCCTTTTCTCAATGCATGAACTTCATTTAGTCAATCAGACATTATGGTCATGCCTAGAAATTCCTAGATTTAGGATCTTAGTTCTCGTGATAGTATAGTTCTCATTTACCTTGTAAATGAGTACTGTCCTGGGTCTCTTACACACACACACACACACACACACACACACACACACACGTATCACATAATAATGGACATCAGAGAGTAGTTTGAACTGCATGAAATTGTGGGGCAGGCAACAAACTTCTACACACCATTTTTGAATAGTGGGTTTCAACTGGATAGAGGAGAAACTATTTACTTCTTTAGTGGCTTACTTGGCATCAAAGTTAAGTTTGGATGAATTAAAAAATTTTTTGCTAACAAATAATTGTTTGCCAAGGTATGATTTTACTCTGCTTAGTCTCTGATCCTGGTGGTCCATATGTTACAGGTTAAAGGCTTTGATTTTCCTCAAAATTTAGATCTGGGAATAGATATTAAGGTTAATTTTCTGCTACATGAGATAAAGCGAAGGAAAAAAACCCATGTGGTCCAAAAGTATGCATTTGCAACTTTTAAGATGTCCTGAAATTTGTGTTTGCAAAGTGGAAGGATTGCAATGACTGGATTCAATTGAAAATGCAGTGCTGCTATAAAGCATTATGATAACATATGGGCACTGGGAATATTTTTGACATTTTATGCGACCTTATTTCCTCAACACCCTAGATAAATTATTCCAACTTTGATAATTGGAATGGCATTAAAACAACATGGGCATGCAGCAGAATTGTGAGATTTTTTTTTCTCTTTCACCAGATCTTTCAGGAGTTGTAAGAAGTGTTAAGTCAGCTGCAATCACCAAGTATGGGGCACTTTTCCAGGCACTTGGCATTATAGCAACAGCCCATTCAGTTTTGAAGTTTCCTTAAACAATAGAACGTATTTTTCAGCTGCTACGCAGAATTTTTAAGAAACCTGATTTTTTTTGGTCTCAATCCACTGTTGTCACCCTTACAGATTTGAGGTCTGCGAGTGGCTGCATGCGGCGGTTGAATTTCCACCTCACCGTGTGCTTTTTGCTTTTGTGTGTTACAGGATGGCTGGTGGATATGACTGGCAGCTACACAGCAGCATTTCTCCTATGTGGATTTGCAATGATATTTAGCTCTGTATTGCTTGGCTTTGCTAGACTTGCAAAGAGAATGAAAAAAACCCCACTGCGGCTCCTTGCCAAAGAACCCGATCCCAAGCTGCGGCTGTGGACCAACGGAGCGGTGGCTTATTCTGTAGCAAGAGGGTTAGATCAGAAAGAAGGGGAAGCTGCGGCTGAAACAGTGGCTGCCTTCAACCCCGTATGACCAATGGCCTTGAGCCTGGGACCTTCAGACTGAGACAGGTGGAACCATCAGATTATCCATGCTTCCCAAGTGCTTCATTTTGGCAGAATTATTTCCTTTCGAGGAGATTATTATTGTTGTTTTTGTTAAGATATTTATAAGGGAAAACATCAAATATATTTAAAAAAACCTAGACTAGCCTGGAATTTCCTTATGTAGCCTTTGTACTCTCATTGAACCTACAGGGAGGTGAAGACACAGTGATAGAATTAGCTGTGACTGGGGGTGTGTCACAGACCTAACCCAAGCAGGTGACCCTGGGTTGCCTCTGTCTCTCCTGCTTTCCTCCTCAGCACAGGAGTACAGAAGGAAGCTTTGCGTGGAGGTCTGCCTACGTTGGAGAAACAAGCGAGCCTCCTTGAGTGTGGTGTGGAAAGCAAAGATGCAAATGTTTTTCATGGTAACGTTTCTCATTGGGACTTTGATGTTCTTCCAAAGGCAAAGGTGGAAAGCTCTCCTGTTAGAGACTGTTCACTAGGAAGAGAAAGCTCTGGTCTGTGTCCCCAGACACTCACCTGCATTACTATCACTTAGAGTCCTTACTCCACATGTAGCAGGACCCACACCCAGAGTTGCAAGGGTAAGCTGTGCATCTTACTTGAAAGGTTAACAATCTAAAATTCCCCTGCCCCCACTTGTTTTTTCTTCAGGATAAAAGCTCACTACCGACACATTCCTATCCAGAACAGAAACATGTTGACAGCATTCCAACTGGGCAGGAATTAAATTCCTGAATCAGCAGGTCTCTGGGGAGTTTTCTTTGTTCACACAAATTAGGGACATGATATTCTGAAAGAGGCTTTGACAGATTTTACCTGAAAAATAGTGTCTTGATGATTTTCACATGGTCTTTCTCGCCATGTTAATTCTTACTGCAGTGTCCATTTACCTTCGTTTCCTTATAGGCAATCATTAGAAACTTAACTTATTGGATTATGACGGTTTGTTTACTCTCAAATACTGCACTTTGTGATAGTCTTTAGAGTGAAGGATGGTGTGGAGAGAGAAGGGAAAGGCCAGATCCCCTTCACTTGTCTGTAACTGCTTCATATTCACAGAGTTGTAAATGTTAGCCCCAAATCATGTCACAGCCATAGGCATGCTAAAAGAAGTTCATTCACTGATTTAAAATCCCAGCCTCAAGGAGACATGTTGGCCTTGCAGGCCTTTCATCCTTGTCTGCCAGGAGACGTTCCAGGTGCCCCAGTGAGTGCGGGAGGGGGGCGAACATCTGTGAGGGAGAGCCTGGGTAGACGGAGCTAGCAGGAGTCCATGTGGGCACTTGGGCTATTTCACGCACTCACGAGTTGAATATCTTGTTTTCAGATGAAGATGCGATGGGCAACGTGGTAGTATTTTCTAGTTATTTACCAAACAGAAATTTGAATGTTCTCTGTTATTTCTTTACAGAGTCTTACAATTCACTTATGAACCATTTTGTGATTTGCAATTTTTTTTAAAGATTTATTTGTTTTTATTGGAAAGTCAGATTTACAGATAGAAGGAGAGACAGAAAGATCTTCCCTCTGCTGGTTCACTCCGCAAGTGGCCACAGCGGCTGGAACTGAACTGATTGGAAGCCAGGAGCCTCTTCCAGTTCCCCCACGTGGGTGCAGGGTCCCAAGGCTTTGGGCCGTCCTTGACTGCTTTCCCGGGCCACAAGCAGGGAGCTGGATGGGAAGTGGGGCAAGCTGGAATGTGAACTAGCACCCATATGGGATCCTGGCACATGCGAGGCAAGGACTTTAACCACTAGGCTACCATGCTGGGACCCAATTTTTAGTTTTTAAAAGATTTGGGAAACAGATATAAGAGGTGATAAACTAAAGGTGCGCATGTTTAGAACAGTCCAAGGCTTTTTTGGAAGTATTAATAGTCATAAATACAAGGATAGTTTAATAAGTTTCATGGAAAATCCACATTTTAATTCCATTCTTTCATAAGCTTTGTTAAATCCCTTTGTATTGTGACACATCTTTTTCACAGTAGTAATCATAATATAATTTTATTTATGAACTTTTACAATATTGTTTCTCTAAAGTGTTTTAACTATGGAATGACCGTGGTGGTCAGATGGTTCAAAGATTTTTATAAATACATTTGGAATATTTTGACTTAGTACAACTTTTCGTTTTACTTCTCTCTGGGACCAGCGTTTTTAGAAAATCCGCAAGGTGCGTGTTGATCTTAAGAGCTACCATTTTTGTCATCTGTGTTACACTGTACTGTTTCATGTGCCTGTTCTGTTCCTTTCAAATGAGGAATTGATGATAATGATGTATGTTTTGTAAAATGAAGATCACTGCTGTTGTAGGATTATCTACATCTTCAACATGGCCTTACGCCACTGCAGGCTCTGCTTCGGAACTGAGTGGAACAGCAAAATAAATGATCTAACTTCTCTAGGTACATGATACCACCGGGGCCTTTGTTGAGATTGTAATTTCACAAATAGATCAGCTCTTTATGCTAGTACTTTCTTATTTTAAAAGCAAAAATAAAATCAGTTTATATTGATATGTGTGGAGAAACACTTTTTCCTATGCAAAAGAAACGTGAATTGGACGGTGTCTGGGTCGGTCATGCTCAGATGCAGTTAAAGTGCATTTGAAGATATGGTAAAAGATATGAGTACTCATAATTCTGTGGCAGGTAATACCTATGCATTGTTTCATTTAGTCCCCACAATAATCATATTATCATTATTTTGAGATGTAGAAGCAGAGACACTGGGACCCATAGACCCACAGGCGCTCTAGTGCCTGCAGTGTACAATTTCATAACACTAGGTGGCAGTCTCATGCTGAAGTCTGTGTCCCTCCCTTTGTTCCCAGCCCGGGTCCGGTCATCTTATGTAAGTTGAAGAGATGGTTTTGAAATACACTGCCGATTCGGTAGATAAAGCCTTGTAAATTATACTGCAGTTTGCCAATAAATAGAGGAGAAAAGATTCTAGATGGGAACTTTCTGAGAGTCTTCTCAAGGGGTTTGATCAACACAGCTACTTCCAGACTAAGTTGTTTAATTTGCTGTGGATTGAGGAATACTTCTCTTAAGAAGCATTTGGGTAGGTGGGGAGTGAGAGGCAGGGAAGCTTACTTAGCCCTAATAGTGAGTCCCGTCTTGCATTTACCAAAGCCAAACCCTTTTGGTCAGGGATTTAATTCCTTCTGAAGGGCCTGTGTTGTTGCCAGTGTCTGTTTGGTTGGCATTCGCCTTCCTGCTCCTAACAGGTCCAACTATGAAATTGTTGGAGTGAAATGGTCTGATCTTAAGGTAAGTATCTTATGTTTTTTTTATCACACTTCCAAGTTGGAAAATTTTTATAGTATTTGTTAGTTCTATCAAAAAATAGATTTTATATCTATTGTTAGAACAGCTTCCAGTAACAGATAACTCGGATTTTATTGCATTGCATAGAAAAATATTTGGGAGGAGACAGGACAAAATACTCAATAGTTATAAAAAGGCCAACATTAAAACAATACATTTTGTCATGGAATTCTCAGACATGTGACTCGGGACAGCCAAGTGATGTTGGTGGACCTGTTTCCCAGCGTCTGCCATCTCCTGCCCACTCATTTCCCTCTTGAGGAGGGTACTTGAAACATATTAACATGCTGGGGGCTCGTACTCCTCAGCTGCCAAGGCATGCATAAACTGCACAATATGAACTTGTTAATATGGGCACAAGAGACAGGTGTTTAGTTCAGCCTAGACTGTTGACAAAGCTGATGGGACGGACCCCTCTCCTGCCATGAGATTGCGGTATCCGACATTAATTTCCTCTGTCTCTTGGGTCCGTCTACCTGAGGCCTGTGGTTGTGTCAAATAAAGGCAAAATGCTTTTGAGATTCGCTATTTTTCTTCTTTTTTTTTTTAATGAAAGTGTATGTTATTTTCCATGATACAGTTTTACATGCCTAGGGATTCATCCTTCCTCCTCCCCTTCCTCCTTCCTGTCTGTCCCCTCCCGCTGTTTGTCCCCAGGTTGTCACAAAGCGCAGCCACTCAGTTCAGGGTTATGAGCTTAGCTGCCTGATATTGAAATAGATCATGACATGGTAAGTCTAGGAAAAGGTAGCAAACAGCATTGTAATATAAAGGTATATTTATAAGTATCATCAGGAGACCTTCTATGATCGAGAAGCAGAGTCAGACACTGTATAGAACCCTTTATTTCCAAGTATGCTAACATCCTTTCTATGGCTCATATATGTATGTGTGTGTATATATATATATCTCCTTTCAAAACTGGCTTACTTTACTAAGCATAGTGAACTCCAGGTAGGGCCATTTGTTGCAAATAGTAAAATTTTATTCTTTTTTTATGGTTGAGTAGTATTTCATAGGGTAAAATGTACCCTTTTTTTCTTTTTTAAATCCATTCCTGTGTTAGTGGGCATCTAATTGTTTTGAGTCAGAGGTCCCTGAGGACCATGGGATCCAGGATTGATCCAGCATTTAATAAGTAGCATTTTGCCTTTTGAGGTTTGAATTGACATTAAAAGTGCATTACAGTTGGGACCAGTGTTGTGGTGTAGCCGGTCAAGCTCCTGCTTGTGACTCCAGCGTCTGGTGTTGGAGTGACAGATCCAGTCCTTGCTCCTCCAGCTCAGGTGCTGTACCTGGGTCCCTGCCGCCTTTATGGGAGACCCAGACCTGGCCCGTGTGGTCATCCGGGGAATGAATCAGGTAAGCTTATCTTCCTCTGTCTTCCTTTCTTTCTTTAGTTCTGCCTTTAAAATAAGCATTTTCAAAATGGCATTATAGTCTTTCTGAAGTTTTATCAGAAAGGTGTGTGTCCGTTTTCTAAGAAGAAGAAATCAATTTTAAGTTTTTTTGAAAGGGTCCTGAGCAACAGAGCACGTTGAAAGGGCATGTTGTGCAACACTGCCATCTGCTGGAATTAGTAAGAACACCCTCCAAAAGCTGGTGTGCCCGCCAGTTACTCATCCCAC